AATGTCCCAGGAGAGCATTTCAGCTTTGACTATTAGTTCTCTGCTGAGTGGGATGCTGTAACAAAATGAGCTGTGTAATGCAAAAAGCAGTCCATTATCTTAATGCTTCTCTTTCTCCAGGTATCCAATGATCTTGTTAATGATTTTTTTTTGTGTTATCATGCAACTGGACAATGAGAATATGGAAGAGGAATTTCACCAAGATAGACAAAACAATTTTTCTCAAGGAGCTGGGAAGGATTCATAAGGATGCATGGATGGAAGTTGCTAAGAATCATTACTTAGAGGCAAAAGAATTGCAGTTTACAGCACTTGCTTACAGGCAGGTTCCTGTCTTTGCAGCAACTAACAGACTTCTTAGCTTGCATTGTGTCTCACTGCTTTGGCACTCTTCCAGGGAGAATGTTTTCCTGACTGTCACAAATTTATCAAGCAGTTCTTATGTGCTAAATCCACAAAGGCACCAGGAGCCTGCTGGCCTCCATTCTAAGATGCTCAAGTTCTGTCAGTATAGGTAATCAAGTCTTCAGTCTTCCAGTTGAGCTAGGAGATCAAAGGGAATCAAAAGAAAAAGTGAAGATTTTCTCAGAGGCCTGGCTTGGTATGGGAATATGATTCCACGACTAAAAAACCCAAAGGGCAAATAAACAACAACTTTGACCTAAACAGAGGTGCAGCACCTGACATTCAAATCCTCTCATTGGGATTTCCCTACAGATGACATACAAGACATTGCTTTTCTTCCTTTGTACCCCAGGTGTATTTCAGGCTTCCTGCTATGTGATCTCCTAAGATACATCTACAACGTGTGATAATGTTTCACAATCACGGATGAGCTGTGCAATATTGTCCATGGTCAGGTCCACCCCTTGATCAGAAGCCCATCTGTATGTTGCATCTCTCCCTTGATGGCCCGAGGTGTCATGGGCCCATTGGGCTATAAATAATTCACCTTTATGTTGCCAGTCCAGATCCACCTGAACCACTTCAGTGGTTCAGCCTGATCCATGTGCTGGTTGTTTTGATATTCTTCCGTGAACATCTTCAGTGAACAGGGCATATTGTTTCTCATTTTCTGGTACCTTATTATACAGCGTGGCCTCTTCAGTGCACGTCACCTCCTCCTCTGGTGATATTCCACAATCCTTGCCTTTTGGCCAGTCCATGATCACTTCCAAGATTCATGGGCAACTGGGTTTCCATTTTGAGCTCCATTTTGTGTGGTCAGTACAATTCACTTACTTCACATAGCACCAGTTTCATGATGTGTAGTGGGGACCCTCCCTTTGAATACCCAGCCCAGCACCAGCACTTGGTGTGCCAGGAGGAGCTGTGCTTCAGTACCAGCCACTTCAGAAGCAGCTCGAACCTCTTCATATGCTGCCAACATCTCTTTTTTAGTTGGAGGATAGTGGGCCTCGGGTCCTCTGTATCCCTGACTCCAAAACCTTAGGGGTCAACCTCGAGTGTCCCTGGAGCTTTCTGCCAGAGGCTCCAGGTGGGCCCATTCTACCCAGCTGCCATGCCTGTGTAAGACCAGAGCCAGAGGCAATTTCTTCTTCTTGAAGGTGCTCAATAGTGTTAAAGTTGTGTTTTGAAGGCCAGACCTCAGCACAGTGCAGCAAACTGTAGCTCTCTGGCATTGCCAGGACCAGGCCATACCTTTTTAAAACATTCTGTCTTCTTTTGAGGATTCTGCATCTGCTCAGGGGTGAATTCCAAAACCATCAGAGGTGACAATCGTGATAGATACCTGCCCATATCCTCCTGCACAACTATAACCATCCTGCCTCGGGGCAGATCTTTAAGCAGTATTCCTAAATAGTTGTCTAAGCTTAGACAAAGCCAGAGGCACATGCAGGAGATGTAGCAATAGGATTGTGCCAGTTTGAACATCACAAGTATATTTAAAAATTCAAAAACTATTTTAGCTTGCCTGGAATAAAGACTGTACTTGTTAATAGTTTCCATGGTAAGGTTCCCAAAGTGCAAGAGTGATGGATATATGAGTACAAATATCAGGTTAAATTCACGGTTGGTGTAATACGAGCACGTGCTAAGAGACTGGCAAAATCCATAAACAAACTTAGGGCAGTCCCCAGAGATGATAAACAGCAAGAAAGGAATTAAGAAAAACAACCTTGAAAGCACATAAAACAACATTGTGAACTGATAAATCAACATTGTGACCAGCAGCTATTAAACTAATATAATGCTATAAAAATTCTTGTTTTTAAATGCTCTGGTCAGATCTGTTGTTATCTCAGCCGTTTGGGCCCCACATTGGCTGCCAAAAGGATGTTGTGGTTTAACGCGGCAGGCAGCTAAGGACCACACAGCTGCTTACTCGATCCCCCTGCAGCGGGATGGGGGAGAGAATTGGGAAAAAAAAAAAGGTAAAACTCATGGGTTGAGATAAAGACAGTTTAATGGGACAGAAGAGGAAGGGAAAATAATATTAATAATAATTATTATATATATGTACACATACAAAACCAGTGATGCACAATGCAACTGCTCACCACCCACTGACTGACGCCCAGCCAGTCCCCAGGCAGTGGCCACCGCACCTGGATGCGTGTACAGCCCGTGGTTGATTCAAGTCACAGAATCACAGACTGGCCGAGGTTGGCAGGGACCTCTGAAGATCATCTAGTCCAACCCCCCTGCCAAGCAGGATCACCCAGAGCACATTGCACAGGATGACATCCAGGTAGGGTTTGAATATCTCTAGAGAAGGAGACTCCACAGCCTCTCTGGGCAGCCTGTCCCAGTGCTCTGCCACCTCACAGCACAGAAGTGCCCCCTCATATGGAGCCAGAACCTCCTGTGCTCCAGGTTGTGCCCAGTGCCTCTTGTCCTGTTGCTGGGCACAACTGGAAAGAGACCAGCTCCATCCTCTTGACACCCTCCCCTCAGACATTTATATGCATTGATGAGGTCTCCCTTAATGAGCTTCGTCACCGTGTGTGGGGTGGCCAGCGCCCAGCCTGGTGTCCACAGGTGGTGAAAAGCATACACAGAGCCAGCTGCTGAGACCCACACTTGGTCCCAGGATTCACAGGTGCCCTCTGGCAGAAAAAAAAACAAAAAACACAACAACATTGTTTCTGATACCTTCTGCTGGAATCAGATCTGCTGTATGTGCCAGCCAAACTTGGAGAAAAGGCATCTCTAGGCTCGTTAGGAAAAGCACAGAGGAGCTGACAGTCTGCCACTGAAAACAACTTAGAAGAAACAGAGTTGAAAACCTGCCAATATTGACTTTTTCCATATTTTCTACTGTATGCAGCTGCAAGGGTGAGAAAAGAACTCTGAGCTTGAAGCAAATGTGCATTATAATGTTCTCTTTGAACATGTCTGGGTTACTCTAGGAAGATTTTGTTTGGCTTACGTTCTAGGGTTTACATTTTCTAAGGCTTGTATTTAAGTCTCACATTCTTTCTTTCTTTCCTTATTTTTAAGAAGCCAACCAACCATCTTATCAGAAGAAGACACTGGGAAAGTAAGATTCCCCTGCAGGGTTTTGTGTGTTCAAAGCCCCAAATCCTGCTGAGAACCACCAAAATCATTATTGCTATAATCATTTTAAACAAGCTGTTTGCATCAAGGGATTCTGCAAACAGAGCAGTGAATATTACAGGGTATGATGTGCAGGTTTCTTTATCACAAAGCGAAGATAAAGCCTGGTGCTGTAATACAGACTACACTATCTAGGATAAGGCCGTCTCTGTTAACTTTAAATTGACATTTGCCTTATCGCATTAATGTTATTTCACCACTGTAGCAAAATTTAAGAATAGGGAATAGTCCAAGGTATCATGTTAAAATCAATATCACTATTCCTAGTGGCATATATAGTAGACTATGACCACAGAAGCTGAAGAACTTGTCATTTTATTTACTCAAATCATTCTTGCCAAGAAATCCTTTTATGTGTGTCTGTATGCGGTAGGGTCAGGTAGGAAGAGCTCTTCTGCTGAGGTTTTCAAGTAGCAAAGTTATTTAGTCCTGGGTATTGGCTAAAGTAAGTACTTAAAAAAGTCCGAGCTCTTTGGACTAAATTAGGTGGTTTGATATCTTATCTCCTGATCTTGTTACTAGCGGCCACTTTATCTTACCACCAAAAGCAATGCCCTCGGGAATGATTTGTGTGGCAGCGGATACAGAATAGTGGCTGAAATAGCACAGCTGAAATGGGGTCTTAGTAGGTGTCAGCCCTTCACAGGCTTTTAGCTCCTTAGAAGTACAAGTTGAAGAAAGTAGGTGCTTGAGAGTCGCTTGCCATTCAATGGAAGTGAATGGATTGTGGGTAGGATGGTATATGCAATAGCTTATCCTTTAACAAGAAGTTATTAAAGTGATATTGCTGGTTAGAAAAAATCCCTCCTGAAGACATGGCAGTTCTGCAAAGCTACAGTGCTTGCACTTACTTATGAAGGTTGGTTTTAGATAGAAAATAAGTGTGAGCTTTAAGTAGTAAAGTCATAGTAGCAGCAGAAAGTGATGAATCCGGTATGATGTGTGGTTAACCTATACAATTTAGATACTGTAGTGCAGGAAGCAAAACTATATCATGAAATGCTTGCAAAATGAATGTGTAAAAGGGAAAACGTAGAAAGCATACGTATGTATTGATATATTTCTAGCTGTTCCCCTTGGGTTGCCACTGCACTTAACATCTGTCCTGGTTTCAGCTGGTATAGAGTTAATTTTCCTCCTAGCAGCTGTTATGGTGCTGTGTTCTGGATTTAAGATGAGAATATTGCTGATAACACGCTGTCGTTTCAGTTGTTGCAGAGCAGTGCTCACGCTTAGCCAAGGACTTCCCAGCTTCTCACACCACCTTGACAGTGAGCAGGCTGGGGGTGCATCAGGAGCCGGGAGGGGATAGGACCAGGACAGCTGACCCAAATTGGCTAAAGGGATGTCCCATGCCACCTGGCATCACGCTGGATGATTAATACGGGGTGGCTGGTCAGGGTCAGGGGTACCACTGCGTGGGGACAGGCTGGGCATCGGTCAGCGTGCGGTAAGCAACTGCATTGTGCATCACTTGTTTTGCACATATTATTATTACTACTTCCATTATTATTATTTCTCTTTATTTTCTGTCCTCTCAAGCTGTCTTTATCTCAACCCACAAGCTTTTACATTTTTTTCCTTTTTTTTTTTTTTTTTTTCCTCATTCTCTCCCCCCTCCCACTGCGGGGGAAAGAAGGGTGAGCGAAAGGCTGTGTGGTGCGGAGCTAACTGCTGGGTTAAACCCCAACAGCATCTTAATTTGCCATGACACGTTACAAAGCTCAACAGCACTTGAATGTCATGACAGGCCGTGAGCTAAGTTGTTCTTCAGACTATGTTTTATCCCTTGATGGAAACCAACTTCTTTGACTTAGTAATGAAGAGATATTAACCCATGTCTGCGTTGTGCAGACATCAGAACTCCCTGAGGACAATTTTAGAGAGATAGCTTGACAGGACAGAAACAAAGAAATACCTTGTTTAAACTTCCTTTGAAGTTTGCACTTTACTGTCTTGAACAGCCCAGTTCTAGCCACAAATGTCTTAAATATTACTTGTTCTTGCCAGCCAGGATCTGGGGCTGGAAAACACAAGCCTGTGGCCCCTATAACTCTCCCCAGTCTTTGGGAGGGTTAAGGGTCCCAAATCCCCAGAAGCCTCTTGAGAATGAGTTTTCTAAACCAGTGTTCAAGGCATTGAAACACGCAGCAAGATAACCCTTAATTTTGTTTTAAATCAAATTATTTTGACACAATGTAAGAACAGACTTGTAAAATCATTGTGGTCATTGTGCTTTAAATAATGAATTTGCACTTTAGGGAAGTACCAAAACCTGATGTGCCTTTATATATATGCATATTTAATTCCTTGAGGTGGTTGAGTTTGTTCTTTTTTTCTTCCATGCATTTATTTTCTTATCTGGCTTGACCTCTTCTTATTTAAGAGAATCCTGGTCTTGTTGCATCTGCTGAGGAATGAATGCTCTGGCGCAGTAATGCTGCCTAATGCCTGTATCAAACACCTGAGGTGCATGAGGCTTCTGATCTGGAGACTATTTTAATCATAGTGTTGCTTTCACAATCATTTTAATAAACCATTAAGGGAGAGAAAGAATCACTAGCAATGACTTATCGCACCCTCAGGAATCTGAAAAAAAAAATAATAATAATAATAAAAAAAAAACAACCCTAAAATGTTTTGTAATGCACAACATTTGTTTTAAATAAAAGGAAATCCTGCAATGGCAATACTGTGATTAAAATGCCATGAAAAGGCTTTAATAAACATCAGAGGCATTGTAGATATCTCTTGCTTTAATGACTGCTGATTAATTATCATATGGAGCTTATGCTGAATGTTATTTGGACAAATTAGAAATTCTGCCTCAGGCGGTCAGACACTGTGCTCGTGGTGGTGCACAAAATGGATCTGTGCTAAAGACTGACAGGGTCTGACTGGAAATGCCAAAAGCAAGCCAGAGCAACTGCAGCTGCTTGCTCTGTGAATCACCCCGGGGGCTCCAACTACAGGAGGAAGCTACAGGTTTGCAGTTGCCTGGCAGCACAACTGCACCAGTGAGTTGTGTGAGATTTATGTGGTGGGCACAGAGGACACATCTTAATTTTCGAGTCTCCTACATCCTTTGGGTAAGATTAGATGGTGGAGCTAAACATGCCTGCATCTGGTCCCTGGCATCTCCTCTGGAGAGACATACACAGCACACACATGTATTGCAGCAGTGCATCCCTTTGTGCACAAAGGCAACTCTCAAGCAGTACAAGAGCTCAGACAGAGAGACTTAGGGCAGTTTTTTTCTGAAAGACCTCATGTGGGCTGTGCTATGCAGTTTTTATAGCTTTCCCTGAAGTTTATTTAGTTGTTAGTATTTTCTCTCCTAATTCTCCATGGCAATCTTGCTTTATGACACTACCTAAAGTTTTGCAAATTATTCAGAATAAAATAAATTCATGTGACAAATTTAAGGCTTAATCTTATATGTTGTGGATGCAACTTCCTTGTAAATATAGAGGCCCAAAGGCTATGATTGGTGTGTAGCCACGTAGCCCTTTCTCACTTACATAAAACATACACAAATCTCTAGTCTCACTTTGCAACCTATTCTTGAAATGTTTAGCTCTATGAATATCAACAGAAGATTTTCTCTTTTCTTACCATGCAGCTATAATAAGCAATAACCTTTAATGTTATTTTCAATGGGCAAAGTTCAAACTGCAGTTCTTCCCTCCCAAGTATTTTAGCAAAGGTTATTGTCTTACTGGGGCATGCTCCCCTGGCTGCCTCTCATCCGTAATCCCTCATTCTTAACAAAGAAAAATAAGGTCTTAACTCCTTCATGTACCAGAAGCCTTTGTTTAATCATTTTGTCATATTTAGAATAGATCAGGAGAACAACGAAACTCTTTTCCCCCCTCTGTTATAATTTATATAATTCTATCACTGCACTTACCATTGACCAATATGCCTTTTTCTTCCCTTAGGACAGGGAGGTTTAGTCTCTGTGTGATGATCTCTTTTTCAGAGGGCAAAAATCAATCCCTTTTCAAAGAGCAGGTCACTATGAGGGCACATGGGCTATGTTTATGTTATAATACCTGTGTACCTTTTCCTTTTGTTTTTGCGATTTACAGCACAGTCAATATTTCTCCATTTTTAAATGTTAAAGATCTGCTTACCTGTTTGTTGTAGTGCTCATGTACGAATAACAGATCTGACTGTAGCCCGATGTTGCACTTTCTATATGACACAAATGTCTCTCTTTAACAGAGATTCTCCCTAACCCCCAGTAAATTGCTCCCACCAGATGTCAGTACTTCTGCCATGCCTAGGTGGGGGACAAAACTGAGCCCTGCTGTGGCAGCCTTCTAGCTCATGGTGACCTTCCTCTGGGGCCCATGAGATGCTCCTGATGGTAGGTTTTGCGTCCAAGCCCTACCAGGCCTCTCACCTCTCCAAAAACCTGTTATGGGTTAGATAATGGTGCATCCCCTTCAGTGATTTTCACTCAAAGGTTTCAAATTGGGCAGGTGGAATATTCTGTTAGCCCAAAAGCTTGGGGAGTTGTTCTGCATTACCCTGCAGAGTGACAGGTAGTGCTGCCTCCCTCCTTTATATTACCAAGAACAAGATAGCGTTGGCTGATAAACAACTGCAAACTACTTATCAGCTACTCAGCAAGGACTAGGGCCTTCTAAAGACCAAAGCTTTCCTCATATGAATGCTTCAGAAGTCTTATGTGGAGACCTTCTCCAAACATCATCAGCACTTCATTGGGCATTGCTGAAAACACCTCTTCAGTCTGTGCCTTGTCCCAACGCACTGTCCCAGCACAGCAGGGTAAGAACCTCTTCATGGCAAGCAACCTGTCCAGTCCATCTCACCCTTGCTTTATGCCTGTGATATCCAATTGCCTTAATTAATTTAATTTGTCCCTGTGAAGGTTATTTGCCACTCACTGCAAGTTATCTTCAGGTGTACTGCAGGTGTACTCCAGTAATTTTCTGTTAATTACTTGTTTACTTATGTAATGCTGCTATAAAGGGAATAGGGGGGAAATCCCATTTAGGTACCTAAATAAAAGCCAGATGTTTGGCCAGATTTACCCTCACTAACTCCCGTTTTCACAGTATTGATTCATTAAAGTCTTTGGCTGTTGCTACCATGAGCTGCCTGCTAAAATCTACATGCTTAACGAGGTAACTAAGAAAGTACTGAAGCATGTTGGCAACCTATCTCAGACAGCATCGTTCCCCTTCTCCCTCAGATACTCACCAAGGCTCACCTTGTCACAGGAATTGCTTGTTGCTGATGGAGAGAGATGAAGCACTGGTGGCTGTTTTATTCCAAGTACTCAGTGATGCCAACCTACTGTTGGCTCGTCACGCTGAATGGGCAGACCTGACAGCAGATCTGGCATTTGCACAATTATGGATGTAAAGAAACGAGAATGCTTGTCTGTATCAACAAACCTCGGAGTCTATTGTACAATCACTTTAGCTTTTAGCAGCACAGATGGATGTAGAGCTGTTGGCTACTGCCAGATACTCAAACAGAACCACGGATTCTGCTGGAGGATGTTTGGAAGATGTAAATGATCACACAGCAGCATCTGCTGCCACGTTGCAGGCCCTTGTGTGGCCCATGCAGAGTTGTGGAGACCCAGAGCTTTCTGTACAGCTGTGATCTGCTGGGCTGTGGTTGTACCACAACATGCAGCAGGGGAATAAGCCCTCTGTGCTCTGCATTGACATGGAGCAGCAGATGAAAACCATACCAGACAGTGGGCTAAGATCAGCAATTAATGGGCAACAGCTGAACCTTGTACCTTTTCAGCAGACACAGTGGCAGCTTCATTATTATTATTATTTTTTTTACTGTTATCCATCGAGGTGTGATGCTGGGGGACCAGTATAACCATCTCTGGGGCAGGAGATAAGTGTTCAGACAAAATTTTATTGAAGACTAGGCAAGAGGCTGACTTCAGTAGTACCTGGTTCCTGGGGTATTCACGTCAGTGAAGGTGACTTGAGTGACTTCCGAAAATCTCTCCTGAAATGGCTTACAACCACCACTTGACCTACCTCACAATGTGCTAATCTGTGAAATATCGTTAGGGCTCTAAATGTGTTTGGATATATTTTTTTCTTTGACTAAAAATCTCTCCAGAGTAGCAAAATAAATGGAAAACTATTACTCTACAGCCACATTTATCAGGTTAGCTCAGCAAATGTTTCCTCCAAAACTCCTCTTCCATGTGTCAAAAAGGAATAGAGATCCCTGTACCTGTAAGAAGCCAAGAAAAAAGATCAATGCTTTGAATATCTTACTTTTATACAACATTTCTGTAGCCTGTAGTGGTTATGCTTTGGTATTTGTTCACTGTCACTTTGTAATCTCAGGTTTATTCCATTAAAACATGTACCTTCCTCTTCTCAGAGGGAGCTACTGCTGTTTAGCCTCCGTTTTTTGATGGGATTTATTCAGGTAGGCAGTGACCTTTCCTATACCCCCTATTGATTGTCTGGAATGGCTCAGCCTGACAAGGTGAAAATAGCTACAGTGTTTTATTGTTTCCAGTACTTGTTTATTTACCCCGTTATACAATACACTTATAGACTGGCTGGCTGATTGATTTATTGCTGCTTTGTACTGCTGCCGGTGTCCTTCTGGGCAGCAGGGCTGGGAAAGGACTTAGAGCAGCCGAGGGCTTATGCCAGTGTCCATGAATTAACAAGCTGCATGTAAGACATTTTAGTCAAAACCGTTCCTTGTAACCCATGGCTAACCATTTGCCCAGGGTTTGTGCTTGCAAATCTAAGCTCATGCGTGCTGTAAGACTGCCAGCTGGCAGTGCAGTGAGCTACTGCTGAGACAGGCTCGTGTCACAGGCAGCATAAATGAAACAGGGAAACTGTACTGTAAAACATAGTAAAAGAGCAGCTCCAACTTCTGTCACCACTACGTAACAAACTTTCAAAGAACAAAGCGGACACATGACAAAACAACGCTTTCCTCCAGCATTGTTTGTTCCCAGGAACCTATAGCCAAACTGTGAGTGCAAAGCGCAACTGAATGGGGCGACTTTTAGTCACCCTGACAATCAAAGGTTAAGTCAGTTACGATGACCCAGAAGCCATGTCATGGTTTTCACCTCTGCAGCACCTCTGGAGATCTGTATCATATGAGCAGCACCAATCTTTTGACCAGAGGGGAGTGGAGGTGTGGCCTGGGCGGTCACAGGGCAATAGATAAATGCTGTTGCCCAGCCACTGGAAGAGCAGGGACCATGTGGAACCGTGGAGAAAGAAGCCAGGGAAGAGTTGGATTTGGGAGCTGGGGAGTGGGCAGCTCTGAGCTTAGATGTGCTTATGCTGCTCTGTTAGCAGCATGTCTTTTCTCATGCTTTTAGGCAAGAAATTATTACCCGATTGCTCAAGAAGGAATAAACTTCCTTCTGTTTAGTGACTCAGTCAGCATGATACTCTGTGATGTATGTACATGCACTGACCCATTACTTTTATCAGGCTCCTATAAATAAATGTGAATGACGCAAAGTTGTGGATGGTGTGGCTGGTGGCACCCTGTTGCTCCTCTTGGCTGAAGCTATATATAAAGGTAATTAGTAGGGGGTAAAGTTGCCTCTAAAATCATTCTTAAAGAGACTGGTGATCTTAATGGCTGGGACCAGGAGCCTTGAAACACCCAAAAGATAAGTTTTCTCTGTTTCTCAGCTCATCAGGATAAGCTCTGGAAAACAGCATAGTACCACAGCAGAAGGACAGTGTCCTAGTGGAGGTGCTCAGTTCTGTCACAGAAAGGCCACATCATGGAGTCTATGGAAGCAGCTGGTTTAGCATCACAGCTGAAACAGGGAAATCCAAGAAAGGACAATCCAAGAACAGGACTTCTGAGCAATGGAGAAGAAACCTTCTGGGATGATTGTGAGGGTCACTAAGAAAATTATGGATTCTTGAAAAAAAGGTCTGTGTTTAGGAAGAAGACTTAGATGGAGCAGAGGGTGGGTCGCTATTAGCAAAGTTAGTGGCAAATGGACAATCTATATCCAGAAGACCTGGAAGAACAGCAGAAAGTTCAGATGGAGAAGAGGGAGCTTCTGTCTGGAGAGGTGAACACAGTGGATGGCTCCATCTCTGAGAAATGGAGAAGCAACATGAAAGAACTAAGCAAAAGGGGATGAGGAGATATTAGGTGGGAATGATATCCTTTAATATTGGTCTATTTTGCACCATTGTTGGTATGATCCAACCTTATTCAGTAGCAATTTGCCAGATAGCTCTAGGCCATCTAGCACTGATGGATGGGGAAGAGCAAATGATGTGATCTACCTGGACTTGTGCAAAGCATTTGACACTGTCCTGCATGATATATTTGCCTCTAAATTGGAGAGACAAGGATTTGACAGATGGACCACTTGGTGGGTAAGAAATTGGCTGGATGTTGCACCCAAAGAGTTGTGGTCGATGGCTCAATGTCCAAGTGGAGATCAGTAACAAGTGATATTCCTCAGGGGTCAGTGTTGGGACCAGTCCTGTTTAATACCTCCATTGGTGACATGGACAATGGGATCAGGCGTACCCTCAGTAAGTTTGCTGATGACACCAAGCTAAGTGGTGTGGTTGACACACTGGAGAGAAGGGTTGTCATCCAGAGGGACCTTGGCAGGCCTGAGAGGAGAGCATGTGAGAACTTCATGAAGTTCAACAAGGCCAAGTGCAAGGTCCTCCACCTGGGCCAGGACAATCACAAGAACAAATACAGGGTGGGCAGAGAATGGATTGAGAGCAACCCTGAGAAGAAGGACCTGGGCATATTGGTTGAAAAGAAGTTTGACATGACCTGGCAATGTGTGCTTGCAGCCCAGAAAGCCAACCGTACCCTGGGCTGCATCAAAAGCAGTGAGGCCAGCAGGGTGAGGGAGGGGATTGTCCCCCTCTGCTCTGCTCTTGTGAGACCCCACCTGGAGCCCTACGTTCAGCTCTGGGGCCCCCAGCACAAGGAGGACAGGGAAGTATTAGAATGAGTCCAGAGGAGGGCCACAAAGATGATCAGAGAGCACCTCTCCTGTGAAGACAGGCTGAGGGAGCTGGGGTTGTTCAGCCTGGAGAAGAGAAGGTTCCAGGGAAATCTCAAAGCATCCTTCTGGTACCTAAAGGGGCCACCAGAAAATCTGGGGAGGGATTCTTTGTCAGGGAGTAGTGATAGGACAAGGGGTAATGGTTTTAAACTAAAAAGGTGTGGGTTTGGATTAGATGTTCAGAAGAAATTCTTCCCTCAGGGGGTGGTGAGGCCCTGGCACAGGCTGCCCAGAGAAGTTGTGGATGCCCCATCCCTGGAGGTGCTCAAGGCCAGGCTGGATGGGGCTTTGGGCAACCTGGTCTGGTGGGAGGTGTCCCTGCCCATGGCAGGGGGCTGGAACTGGGTGATCTTTAAAGTCCCTTCCAACCCAAACCATCCTATGATTCTATGATCTTTCTCTCCCTTTTTATGGATTTTTTTTTTCCCGTAGCATGAATTAGACTATAATTTTTAATCTGTATAAAGAAGTCTCTATAAAATATAAAGAACAGATTTTCACACCATTTTTTTGCAAAGAGTATTTGTAATATTACACTTCATATCTGAAACCCCACATTCCTCTTTCTCGCTAAACCAAATGCCCTAAAAGAGTGAAATACACTGCTGACACTTCTAATAGAAACGATCTAGGACTCTTGCTCTGCATCACTGAGGGGATGCTGTCAATTTTCCTTCAACCTGAATCTGTAGCAGTGCATGCAATGCAGGTGATAAAGTGTTCATGGAGTTAGGCCCAGCTGGATTTAAGAATAAGTCGTCAGAATAGACATAGCTTATGTACCAGAATCCCTGAGCATTACTATTTCCTGCATACTTCTGAACTTCTGGCTTTTCCTGTCAATATGGGTGCTAAAATTCATTGAACAAGCATGGGAACACCAACCAGCATTGCCTGTGCCTTTGCAGTGCCACTTCCAGGCTTTCAACGCTTGGTGGCACCAACAATATAAAGAATCAGGGCCCTTCTCCAGCCTTCCCCAGTTCAAAGTGAGTTGTGATCCTGGGAGAGGTGAAGTGTTATCAGTTTATTTGTTTATAGTCTTGACACAGTAAATGTAAGAAAAACATTATCCTAGCAAGAGACCTCAAGTAATGGTAGGATTAGGAGCAGGTGAGGATATAAGATATGAAGACCTGTCTGAAAAGTTTGATTACTTCCACTGTGGAACCATTTCAGCCAAAAAAAAAGCCAGCCTCATCCATGATTAAGTCTTTTTTTATCTTGTTTTCATGAATAAATCCTCTCCTCAGGCACAGGAAAAAATAGGCAAGAAGTGGAGGAGAGGTAGGGCCAGCCACGGGCTCTGTGCTGGTGTTGTGCATGTCTCAGGGACTGCCGGAGCCAGGAGTGGTGCCTGCAGCTCCCCTGCTCACCCCACCATCAGCACACTGCCCGGTACACCAGCCGGGCAAGAGGCAGAGATCCTCCACCAGCAAGCTGCTCTTTCTCACACCTCATCCACCATGGGATGCTAA